GCCCCAGCTGGGGGAGGAGAAGTCGGGTCCTGCTCACCCACCGCAGGGAGTGGGAAGGGACAAGACTGAGGTTTCAGTCTCTCCCAAAAGCGGGATGAACCAACCCTGCCAAGTTCTGTTTTGTGGGCATTCGGGCCAGGGTCAGAGTAAGATCAGCAATGTCTTCTCCAGCTTCTCAGGGCTTCCGGTGTGAGGGTGAAGGTGTCTGGTGGAGTCTGGGCTTTATAGAATCACAGAACTGTCAGGGTTGGGAGCGACCTTAAAGATCATCTAGTTCCAACCCCCTGCCATGGGCAGGGACATCCCTCACTAGATCAGGCTGCCCAGAGCCCCGTCCAGCCTGGCCTGAAAAACTCCCAGGGATGGGGCTGCCACCCCCTCTCTGGGCAACCTGGGCCAGGGTCTCCCCACCCTCATGGGGAAGAACTTCTTCCTCACGTCCCATCTGAACCGACCCATCTCTGGCTTCAATCCATTCCCTCTAGTCCTACCACTGCCCGACATCCTAAAACATCCCTCAGCAGCTTTCCTGTAGCCCCCTTGAGATACTGGAAGCCACAACAAGGTCTCCTCGGAGCCTTCTTCTCTCCAGACTGAACAGCCCCAGCTCTCTTGAGTGGTTTTCTGAGATGCTCTGGCCCTGGTTTGAGAGGGGAGGCTGTGGGGAGGTGCTGTGCTGGCACCCAGCCCGAGTCCCTGTCACCATGTCCCCCCAGGGAGCAGACGGAGCGATGTGCAAGGAGAGGACGGTTGCAATTGTGTTTCTGATGGCCCTGACTCCTTTGAGTGGTTCAAGTGGGGACCACCAAGCTGGTGCTCACCACGTGGCTTCTTTTGCAGGTTCACAGAAGATCCACATCAATGAGAAAACCATCAGCCCTCATCTCAGCCTGTCAGAAGACAAAAAAACCCTGACCTTCAGCCCCAAGAAAGCAAAGGTGGACTTGGACTGCCCCGAGCGGTTTGACCACTGGCCCAACGCTTTGGCTACTGCAGCTTTCCACTCAGGAGTCTGCGCGTGGAAGATC